GCAACCTCCACCTCCTAGGTTCAAGCAATTCTCACGCCTCAGGCTCCAGCATAGCTGGGATTACAGGCACATACCACCACATCTGGCTTTTTGTATTTTTAGTAGAGATGGGTTTTCACCATGTTGGCCAAACTGGTCTCAAACTCCTGGCCTCATGTAATCTGCCTGCCTTGGCCTCCCAAAGTGCTGGGATTACAGATGTGAGCTATCAAACTTGGCCCAAAGTAGCTTTTTCTAATCCCAGCTCTGCCACTGACTTGCACTGCTCTTCCTTAACCATCTCATCTGTCTAATGGGATTAGTAACCTGTGTTCACCAAAAAGAACTAAGGGCAAGACTGAATTTTAAAATTCCCAAATGCAAAGGCTTTGAAAGATACAGTCCTCCACTTCATCACACCCAGGCCTGAGAGTTATTCATGGAGTTTCTTGAACACCGCCTCTCTACTCCAGCTCATATACTCATAACCTTCCCCCTACCCTCAGGTGTGGGTTTTGCTACCAGGCAGGTGGCCAACATGACCAAGCCTACCACAATCATTGAAAAGAATGGGGACACTATCATCCTAAAAACACACAGCACCTTCAAGAACACAGAGATCAGCTTTAAGCTGGGGGTGGAATTCGATGAGACAACAGCAGATGACAGGAAGGTCAAGGTAAGTCAGGGAAACAGGGGTCGGGAATGGAGAGTGCTGAGACTCTACCTAGGGTGGTAGCCTTGGCTCCCTGGTATTGTTGCCTGAAGGGCAGACTATCATGGAAGATTTAAATGAAACAAGGTTCATAAAGCCTGTGTAGTGCTGGAATGCCACTGATGCCAAATAAATGTAAGTTCTGTCATCTTGTTTTCTTCCCACCCTTCTTGGAATTCATCTACTGGCTGCCTCAGAATGGGCAGTGCAGAACCAGGATATTCTTCTGAACTCAGTATCTACTCCAGCTCCAGCTGGGTGATCCCGTGTAAGGTATGCAGTAGTAGCTCTAGATTTCTTTCCCCTTCCATAGATGGTGGAGTTATGTGCCCATGGCTGTGACCTGAAGTGCTTTAGGAATGATGCCCAGAAGTCAGGGACCTCCACTGAGTGAGGTCATTGTGGCCTCCAGCAGCAAAAAAGGCAGCCAGGAACAAGAAGCACCTACTCAGATGCTGCTTCAACTTCTAAATCTCAGACATAACCAATGACCCTGACAAATTTCTGATGTTACCAGCTGACAGGCAAGAAGAGCTATGTTCTGGTACAGGGCATTCATCTTGTCATAAATGAGTTTGTAGTGCCTTCCCACCAAGCCTCAGCCCCCTCTCCCAGGGTCCTGTCACACTGCAGTGGCTGTCTTGACAGCTTGCCTCAGACCTTCCAGGCCAGGCATGGGTGCAAGAGAACTTAGAGGCTTTGACCTCTATAGGGTGTCCCTACAGCAGTGTTCTATCATGACACTATCATTCAGCCCATCAGCTGTTTCCTGTTCCTCACAGCTGTCCCCAGAAAGGATAGGATCACACCGGTGGCTGGCAGCAGAGCTGGGGATGGTGCCCGAAGATGGTAGTCTACCTTGGATAAAGGTGGCTGCCCTACCACATGCCCATACCTCCTTGGGCTTGCCTACTTTCTCAAGGGGCAAGAACTCCAATTAAACACAATAGCCCCTCTAGAATCCCTAGGGCAAAAATATATACTCTGAGTAGGCAAAAAAAAAAAAAAAAAAACTAGGGGAACGAGAACAAGAAGTAAGGTAAGAATAAAGACAGCGCACTAAGAGACAGGCCCCATATTCCTTATCCCCCAAACAATACACAGAACCTTCTCAGATTCTCCTACTGAACCACCTTGCTCATCAAGATCCCTTAGTCTGGCCTTGTGGCCCCCAAACTCCTAGGAGAGACCTGGAAGAGCTGCCAAATGAGAACCAGCTGATGTATGCTGGCAGCACCCAGACCTGAGGAACAATCCAAGGGCATCCAGTCCCAGGACTGCGGTTGGTGTCCTCTTGCCCCTCTAAAGAGGTCACATGTGGCCCAGGAAGAGGGGTAGGAATACAGGGGAGAAAGTCTAATTATCCAATACTTCTTATCACAAAGGGTCTTTTAGACATTATGTGTACTAACCACAAGGCTGGGGAAGGATTCTCAGTACTACTCCACCTCCTCAGTCAGTCTTTCCCAGAGATAGACTAGTAAATACCACCTGTATCTGAGGGGAACAGCCTGTTCAAATAAGTGTCTATCTTGAAGGGTTGTGATGCTTCTCAGAGCCAGGCTCTCTGGCTCCACCATACTGCCTCCCTCTCTCTCATCGCCTAATACCTGAAGGCCTCTTCCCCAGCAAGGCAGTAGTGGTGAAGAAGCTGGAGGTGAACTAGATGTCCTGCAGGGCTGGCTGGGAGGTGGATTGCCTGAGCTCTTGTCCTCACACCATCACTAGTTTGGGTCGGAGGCTGGGTCCTCTGTGGCCCCAGTGTCCAGACCCCATCCTGCCCCTCAATCCTAAGATCACAGCTCAAGCCTCTACTCTCTTTCCACAGTCCATTGTGACACTGGATGGAGGCAAACTTGTTCACCTACAGAAGTGGGACGGGCAAGAGACGACACTTGTGCGGGAGCTAATTGATGGAAAACTCATCCTGGTAAGATGGGCAACTTTGGAGCCATATCTAATTGGTTTTTACTACTGCTCTTTCAGCCAAGCCTGTTCTAAAAAGCCAAGTCCTCCCCGGAGAGCCACAGAGGCTGAGACAAGAGTGGTTACAAGGTCAGGGTGGTATCAGGTGGGAATTTTCTGTGTGGCGGCTTTGGACTCACACAGGCTGGGGCTCACATCTTACCTTATAGGCTTCATGACTTCAAATCACCCTCTCCAAGTGCAACTGTAAAATGGGTATTAATAATACCAACCTTGTAGGGCTGCTGAGAAGCCTTTAAGAGACAGTGTATGCACCGCACAAAGCATCACTGATACAGCATGTCCTTTGTTTGGTCTTCCTGTATTTCCACTTTGCCTCACCCCAGGACGAAGTAGAAAACAGAGCCGAATCCGACCCCAGGCCCTCTAGGAGTGGCTCCCATTGCCTATCTCAGCATTCCCTTTTCTCTCCTCCCTAGGACTGCACTGTCACTTGCAGGAACAGGCTGGTGAATGGTGGGGACACTGAATGACAGTCCTTTCTTCCCCATTTTAGTCCTACCCCATTTTCATGCATTCTATGTCTGGCCTACTGCAACTACTTGACTACTGCCTGGGTAGTAGGAAGTACCACAGCCAGGATAGCAGATATGTTCAAGCTTGGGGACTTCACTTGGAGCCTTAACTGAATTCCCCCCAGACCCAGAGAGCAACCAACTGTGGATTCTGCTTAACTGCAAGGCCTCAGGTTTTCACCTGGGCATATTCACTGCACATCTTCTTGGGTCAGCATAACGTGTTAACTGCATTCTTGCACTCATATGGGACAGCGGTCCCCTTGAAGTTTGGAATGAGGTGCCTAGCTTTGGTGGGGATGTAGTATGCAGGACCAAATTCTCAGTGGGCAACTGAACTACAGTGAGGCCATGGGTTTGGCTTTATGATGCCAGACTGGATGGTTGGAGGTATAGGGCTCTGGCCCTGGTACTACCCTAAGTTAGGGAAGACTTGGAGTTAGTAGCTGAATACAGTCCTTTCCTGAGTCTCTGGATATTTTTCCTATTTGTCAACTATATGCCAGGCACCATCTTGCACAAAGAATGAAGGACGCCAAATGGTATAAGGGAAAAAGAAACACTCAAGGATCTTGACCAAATTACTTCCTCTCTAAAGGCTAATTTTTCCAAATCTCTAAAATAAGAATTACCATGCCTATCTTAAAGATTTGCTATACATATCGAAAATATTATATATATATATATATATATATATGCCTGGCACATAGTAGGTACTCAAATGACAATTATCAGGAGGAAGGGAGGGTAGGGGTAGAGTGCTTGCAATGGCCTTCCTGGCTTCACTCCCCATCTGACTCTGTCTTTCCTTCCAGACACTCACCCACGGCACTGCAGTTTGCACTCGCACTTATGAGAAAGAGGCATGACCTGACTGCACTGTTGCTGACTCCTACTCTGCCAATCGGCTACCCCTCGACTCAGCACCACATTGCCTCATTTCTTCCTCTGCATTTTGTACAAATCCACAAATTCTTCTAGGTTTAGGTGCCACTGGCCTGGATCCACTTCCAGTTTCCATTGTGTATGTGGTTTTTTTGTTAATGGCATTCATAGGGTGCTCTGAGGTCAATAAAGCAGAGCCAAGGCCACTCAGTTGCCTTTTTGCCTTTGGTAAGATAACTCTGGGAGTCTTGGTTTCTCCTGTGTGTCAAAGAGTGGGCAGAAGTAACTGCCTGAAGGTTACTCAGGAAGAAGCACTGGATGGGAGACTGAAATGGACAGTGTCAGAGACTGATGATCAGCTGATCACCTTACACATTTAATAATAAAACAGCTGTACCTACACCTTGCCTTTACACTGCCCACCTCCATGGTCAAATTTCCTAGTTCAGTCAGTGGTGGGGCTTCCCCAGGTTTGGCTGTTGAACTGTCACTTCACGTCCATTCTACACTGACAGCTCTTGGGCCTGGCTATTCTGTGAAATGCTATAGGTCTCTCTTTCCAGAATTCAGGTTCAGGGCACAGAACCCAGGCTTGTGCCATGATGGTGGGAGAAAATGACCACTGGCCAAGATGATTGCTGATCTATGCACCAGGCTAGTTACTCATGGTTACAAATTCTTACTACTTCTCTAATCAACTCTGAGGGAAGAGGGCATCTGATCTTCACAAAAGGGAGGGCTTATAAGTGATCTCCCAAGAAGGCTGCGACCAGCTAGAGCCTTTGGCTCTGTACCTCTGCTGGGCATCTCTCCAAAGTCTAAGGTAACATATTAAATGCTTTTGTGGGCTAGTGCAGGCTCAGTGACTTTAAGTCTGTAAGTTGCCCAGGAAGAAGGATTACACGAAAAAGAACTTTCAGTAAGTTTAAAACCAAACACATTTCCATTTAGCGACAGGAATTTAAGCAGGAACCTGAAGTGGAATCAACTGATTCACAGAGTAATAAATACAAAGTAGAACAATGATCTTGGCTTCAGCTGTCTGGTTCAGTGGTCTGCTGGAATGCAATACACAAGTGACACTGCAGATTGAGCTGTGGTGACCACTGGATGTCACTTCTAGCATAGTAGAACTATGTTAGGAGGAACGGGAAAAGGGAGCACCACTTCTCACCATGTTCTGCCTCTTGCTGCCAGTCTCTCTCTGCTCCCATGTTGGATGCAGTAGAGATCACCCACCAATCAGCCCAGAACAGACCAAATGGAAGGGTGCAATCACTCTTCTCCAACTACAGCCAGACTCACCTCCACAACAGTCTCTGGCTCTAGCCTGGATTCTTACAGGAATCCAGCTCTGGCAGTGGCAGCTGGAGAGGTTAATGGAACCTCCTGCTGAATGAAGGAAGTTGGGTGAATGAATGGGTGAGCTGCAGGGTTCACTTGCAAAGGGGCCAGGAGTGATAAGGAAACAACTCATTCAGGCAGCTGCTTCTGACCTCTAACTCCCAAACCTGCCTGTTGCATGAGGGGAAGCCATCTCCATGGAAGCAAAGTTAATGGGGTGGGAGGCTGTATTCTCACTATTGAGTGTTTCCAGGAGCCTCAACGCACGAGGCTCCTGGTTCCTTACTCTCAACCACCCCACACTCTTTCTACTCTCACTCCTTGTGTTTCTTCTTGTGCTTCTTCTTCTTTTTCTTTTTCTTTGCTGCCTTGCTGTCTTTTGATGTGTGCCTTGCCCTCTTGCCTGTAACACTCTCAGAGTCTGAGCTGTCAGAATCAGATGACTTCCTGTCTCTATGTTTCTTTTTCTTCTTCTCCTGAAAAGAAAATATTAAAAATCAACATTGTAAGTATATATTTGCTTTAAACAATCATAGCACATAACTGGCCAGGTGCTGTGGCTCACATCTGTAATCCTAGCACTTTGGGAGGCCAAGGTGGGAGGAATGCTTGAGGCCAGGAGTTCAAGACCAATCTGGCTAACATAGCGAGACTGCATCTCTAAAAATAAAAAAAAAAAAGAAAAATTATAGCACATAATCAATAGGGGACCACTTAGTAATTTCTTTTTTTTTTTTTAGACAGTCTCGCTCTGTTGCCCAGGCTGGAGTGCAGTGCAGTGGCATAATCACAGCTCAGTGCAACCTCAACCTCTTGGTCTCAAGCAATCCTCCCATCTCAGCCTCACAAGTAGCTGGGACCACAGGTATGCACCACCACACCCTGCTAATTTTTGTGGAGATGGGGTTTCTCCATGTTGCCCAGGCTGTCCTTGAACTCCTAAGCTCAAGCAATCTGCCCACCTTGGCATCCCAAAGTGCTGGAATTAAAGGTGTGAGATACGTGCCCAGCCACCACTTAGTAAAGTATAAGACACTAAAAACAATAAGGTAAATCTTTAAGTATCAACAAGAAAAAAATAGCTAAAACATGTTAAGTAAAAGAACCAAGACATAATGAATGCAGTATGTATTGTAGATTCTAGTGTGTATAACATATACATGTGTATTTATATATATATGCAAATGACAAAGTGTATATATTACACATACTTGTGTATATTTAGTATACACAGAGAACACTGAAAAGGAGACATCAAACTGGTAATAACTGTTACACACTGGGAATGAACTGAATGGGGGGAAGGATATGGGTCTTTCACTTTTTCCTTTATATACTTCTGTCCAATTTGATTTTTTTAAAAAAACAAGTATCTGTTACTTTCATTTTTTATTTTATTTATTTATTTATTTATTTATTTATTTTGAGACGGAGTTTCGCTCTTGTTACCCAGGCTGGAGTGCAATGGCACGATCTCGGCTCACCGCAACCTCCGCCTCCTGGGTTCAGGCAATTCTCCTGCCTCAGCCTCCTGAGTAGCTGGGATTACAGACACGCGCCACCATGCCCAGCTAATTTTTTGTATTTTTAGTAGAGACGGGGTTTCACCATGTTGACCAGCATGGTCTCGATCTCTTGACCTCGTGATCCACCCGCCTCGGCCTCCCAAAGTGCTGGGATTACAGGCTTGAGCCACCGCGCCCGGCCCTACTTTCATTTTTTAAAGTGCAGGATATTAAAGCTGAAAGGGGTCCCTAAAGATTAGCCAGTCTAGGCCTAGCACTTTGGGAGGCCGAGGCGGGTGGATCACGAGGTCAAGAGATCGAGACCATCCTGGTCAACATGGTGAAACCCCGTCTCTACTAAAAATACAAAACATTAACTGGGCATGGTGGCGCGTGCCTGTAGTCCCAGCTACTCAGGAGGCTGAGGCAGGAGAATTGCCTGAACCCAGGAGGCAGAGGTTGCGGTGAGCCGAGATCGCGCCATTGCACTCCAGCCTGGGTAACATGAGTGAAACTCCGTCTCAAAAAAAAAAAAAAAAGATTAGCCAGTCTATCTAGAAACAGTGACTCACATATCCAAGGTCAAAGAATAAGAGTAAAAGATTTAGAACTCCTGACTCCCGTTCTGTTTGTTATTAGATCCTGCTGCCAGGGGATTGAATATTTATCATCTCTAATTTTACAGCCACCTCACAAGATTATACTCATAAAGAAAAGAGCTGAGAAAGAACTATTCCAAAACTATAAGCACCACACCATGCTACCAAAGTAACAGTACAAACCCACACAAAGGATGAGAGGCAGATTTCCAAGTGTCTAATGGGGCAGTATGGGCAGATTTTAAGCACGGCATAAATCTCTTCTTTGAATTTCAAATATCTATATTGCTTCCATAAGGTTTCTAAGAAGAGGGAGAAAGTATGAGAGAAGAAAGAGAGCAGAAAAGGATGCCAGCTTCCAGGTAGCACCCTGAGAGCTGTAAATCTGGCTGAATGATATACCAGGTCTTAGGAGCTGGCTGTGAGAAACAGTGGAAAGAACAATGAAGCAGATATTAGATAGACTTGGACCTGAGTTCTGGCTCTGCCATTTACTATTCTGTATCAGGCAAGTTATCTGACCTCACTGATGACTGGTCCCTTAAAATGTAAAATGGAGGTATGAATAACATCTACATCCTTTACAAAAAATAAAAATAGCTAGGTGTGGTGGTGCCAACACCTGTAGTCCCAGCTACTCAGAAGGCTGAGGTGGGCCACGGATCACTTGAGCCAGCGAGCTGGAATTGTAGGGAGCCATAATCCTGCCACTGCACTCCAGCCTGGGCAACTGAGACCCTGTCTCAAAAAAAAAAAAAAAAAAACCCAAAACCCACCTGTGTCATATAGCTATGGTGATGAGTTAATGAGATAGTATCTAAGGCTTAGATGAGTTGAAAGCCACTTGTCCCAGATCACATTAGCACAGCTGGTATCTTCACATAGATCATATGAATAAAAATTTCCTGAGTTTTCCTATGTAGCATATGGCCCTTCTTTCTGTATAGTGACAGGAGGCCTCATGGTATGGTCATTAGAACAACAAATTTTGGAATAAGAGTTAAGTTCACATTCCAACTCTGCCGCTTAAGTCACTATGTTTCTTAGAACAACGATTTAACTTTTTCAAGTCTCAGTTTTCTTTTCAGTAAATGGAAATAAGAACCTATTTCAAAGGATACTATGAGCTTTAAACAAGATAAGCACTAACTATAGTGCTTGACATATTATAGGCACTTATGGGGAGCTACATGTATTTTTCTCTCATTAACTCCCAAGAGGTTCTGACAGCCTGGCCAAGTATCTACAGTCAAAATTTTAAGAGCAGATGAAACAATAATTCTTTCTTGGCATCTCAAAGGAGTAGAGAGAAGGGAACAAAGCTTCTCAGACCCATGTTACCAAGCTGTAACAACCATGGCTGGGAGGAGCTGAGAATTGGCAAATCAATGGTTTAGCTACGTTGCTGTACCTTCCTGGATGGCAAGACCATGGAAGTCCATCACAGGGTATTATGAGGTCAGGAGTCTCACTGGCTTCTCCCAGGGGAAGATCCTGGGAAAGGAAAATGAAAATGTAGAGTCTGGCACCCGTTCCCTGCAAGCCTGGTCCAGTATGGATAAATAAGTGAGGAGAGTAATAATACTGCCTTACACCTAAACAGTGCTTTAGTATATCAAGCTTTTTGCATTCTTATCTTACAATAATAATGTGTAGGGTCAGAATTCATGAGTTATTTTTCCCATTTTACAGATGGAAAAACTGCAACTCAGAAATGTAAAGTGAGTTGACCAAGGCTAAAGCAGCAAAGCCACTGTACTTTCTAACACAGAGTTTGGCACACTTTGCTCTGTCTCAAAGATGCAGGCTCAGAAGGAGGGAAGATAAATCACTAGAAAGCCCTGGCATGCTGGAACATGGATTCCAGTTAGCAAGAAGGGCTCAAGGAGATGGCTTCCTCAGACCTCAACTTTGATGCAAAAGCTTTTTTGCAGCCTGAACAAAGACAATTCAATCTTCCAGCAGATGGTGTCATTTTCCCTGTGTGTCTAGCCTTAAGCTACATAACAAAAGAACAATGACTTCAGAAGTTGTAGTTCAAAAGCAAAGTTGGGAGTTGTGGGGGGGCAGGCGGGGGAAGACTGAGAGCCAGAACTTCTGCCCTCAATTGCATTCAAGTGAGAAGGGAAACAGAAGATAATAGTTTTAAAAAATGATGTGGATTCAAGTATCATTTGGAAATAGAAAATTTAAAATAATTTTTTTTTTTTTTGAGACGGAGTCTCGCTCTGTTGCCCAGGGTGGAGTGCAGTGACGCGATCTTGGCTCACTGCAACTTCCGCCCCCCAGGTTCAAGCAATTCTCTTGCTTCAGCCTCCTGAGTAGCTGGGATTGCAGGTGTCCACCACCACACCCGACTAATTTTTGTACTTTTAGTAGAGATGGCCAGCTTAGTCTTGAACTCGTGAACTCATGATCCACCTGCCTTGGCCTCCCAAAGTGCTGAGGTTACAAGTGTGAGCCACTGTGCTGGCCAGAAAATTAAAAATAAAATTTTTAAATGATATAGGGGTGTGAGCCCATGGTGCAGGTCAAGAGGGACAGTGAAAAGAAGCCACTGCTCAAATGTCTCAAAGTCTGTTCTCTAGGAAAAGCACATATCCTTTGCTAGAGCAGCTAATCTTCCCATTTTCACTATACTTCTGAAACATGATAGCAGCAGCCCAGTGTGAGAGAAAAAAAAAAATTAAAGCAAAAACTAAAAAAGGAGAATATAGCAGTGAACATTTATTGAGTACTTAATTTTCTATTTCATTTATTTACTTATTTTTAAGATGGAGTCTTGCTCTATTGCCCAGGCTGAAGTGCAGTGGCCTGATCTTGGCTCACTGCAACATCTGGCTCCTGGGTTCAAGCAATTCTCCTTGAATCACTTGTAGTCCCAAGTAGCTGGGACTACAGGCACATGCTACCACAGCCGGCTAAGTTTTGTATTTTTTTTTTTTTTTTACCAGACTCGGGATTTAACCATGTTAGCCAGGCTGGTTTCAAACACCTCACCTCAAGTGATCGGCCTGCCTCAGCATCCCAAAGTGCCAGGATTACGGGCGTGAGCCACCATACCTAGCCAGTACTTAATTTTCTAAGTGCTAGGATGGGCACACTGCACACATATCCAACCTTCACAACAAATTTATAGACCTGGCATAAGTATCCCTATAATTTCAGGAAAGGAAACTGTAATTTCAGAGAGGCTGACTGAGATGAACTGACTTGCCCACATGGTAGAACCTGGATTTGACTCAGGCCAGGTCCCAAAGTAGATGTTCTTTCTAGATCTGTCTATATCAAAGGCAGCAACTAACTTAACAACTCCCAACCAAAAAGGACTGATATGGCTGGAAATCAGTCAAGCAAACAAGCATTTCTTCT